AAGGGTCGGCAGACGTGCGCGGCATGCGGCGCCAGTCCAGTGGCTCCGAAGAGCCGTTTGGTCGCTCTGTCTCTCTCGCGCCCACGGGGCACGCTGTGGGAGTGACGAAGGCAGCGCTACGAAAGGGTTCCCCCAGCAGTGCGGTGCAGGGCTGATTTTTTTAAAAGGCATGCCCTTTGCAAGGAGACGCCGTGAAGCAGGGCGAGGGTGGGCACGCTTCGGTTTGGCCCAGGGTGTGCTTGGCGGGCCGGCCCTCCGCTGCGGCTGCCCGCACGTGGTGGCTGCTCGCTCAATCGATAGAATCCTTTGCGACGTTTAATGGCGTTAAAGTTAAAGTTAATTTTGACTTTTTGTCCTCCTGTGGACCACAGCATCACAAATTTCGTGGGACGGGATTTTTTTTTAGAATATTTGAACCTTTGTGAGTCGATTCCAACCCACAGATAAACATAGAAGTTATATTTTGTGTTTTTCATTCATCATTTTTAAAAAAATGTGCGCAATTTCATTGAATTTAACGTTAACAACCCTGCCGGTAACCAACCTTGCTTAGTTTTTGAAATTGAATGCGTTCTTATGAATGCAATACACTTGGAGCTCTGAGGCAGAACTGAGCATGAACCAGACGTGGTTAAATGAGTAACCGAAAGGGAGGGTGGTTGTGCATATTCTACCTACCTGCAGGGGCATGTGATTCGGGTTGCCCACCATCATCGGTTATAGGATCTGCAAAATGGGGGAGGGGGTGATCGCCCCGTCGCCCTCCCCCTTAAACCCTGCCCGCCATAGCCATGGTCTATAGAGGCCGTCGCCGACCCCCTGCTCGGTGGGGCCCCCGTTTTCCTCAAGGGATGTTTTTCCTGGTGTTTGTGGGACAGCGGCGCCACTGTGGCTCGCCGACCACCAAGTTCCAGGGGACCAGGCACTTGAAACAAACACCAGCCTTGTTCGCAGGACAAAGGCAAAAAGCTGCTGGAGGGCGATCAGTGCCCCGCCCGCCTCGTCTGCCGAGAGAGAGAGAGAGAGAGAGAGAGAGAGAGAGAGAGAGGAAGGGGTCTCGGCAAAACCGCATCGGGACCAGCAGCTAATCTCCGCTCAAGTGGCGCCACGACTCGCGGTGGAGCAGCGGGCTGCTTCCCAAGAGATCCTCGTCGCGCCTTCTCTGTCTCGTCCACTGCGGGACGCTCCATCGGTGCGAGAGGGACGGAGAGACTGTCCGGGACGCATCGTGTGAGATGGCGGAGATAGGGACGAGGAGCTAAACCGCAACACTGGCCGACAATGGACTGCCGTTGTGTCCTTCTTGAGGGCCTGCCGCCTGGATGCCGCCTGGATGCCGCCTGGCTGCCGCCCCAGACAGCCCAAGCTCCCCTCGACGACGTCGTTCTCGCCCACAATAAACAGATAAGAAGTTTGATGCCCTCGAGCTCGTTAGGACCGACCGGCTCCTCGTCGCCGCGTCCCTCCCTCCACCGCCTCCGCGGTGTGGTCGGACGGCCGAAGGAATGTCCGAGCACTGTCGAAGCAGAGGGCTCCGCACTCGGACGTCTGCCACGTCTGCAACTTGGACTGAGAAGGTGTCCAAGTTTCATTCTCCAATTTTCACTCTTGGAACTGCAGAGTTCTCCAAGTGTGGAGAGTCCTCCACACTTGATTGGACCATGCGTCTTGAAAAATTGAGTACGCATCCAGGCATTTCACTTAACGTAGCTGGCGCATGCTTGTAAAGTTACGAAGGCTAGACTTTACGAATTCATTTCACCAAGCTTGCGTTTGCGTCGAACCAAATTGGTGGTGCAGAGAAACGGAGCTGGCAACAAGGTACGGATGGGAGGCCCTCTATAACTTGTCCTTTTTTCAGCTTCGCTTTATCGGCGAGCCCCCGCGGACAGACTCGGCCAAGGCTGCCAAGGCTTGGCCTCAGCATGATTGGCAGGGGGCTCGCATAAAAAGGCCGCCGCTAAAAGCCTCTGAAATATGGCGGCTCAGCTGGGCCTCCAGTCCCGCGACGAGCGCACTGCGTATCGCAACCCACTGACCACGCCGGCGTGTCCAGCCACCCTCTCACAGCGGGCCAGAAGACCGGTGGCGGCGGCCAAAATTCTAGACGCGTTCTGAGGCCCACAATCACTAAGTCGCTTAACAGGACTCGAACTGAACGTGTGACCCCATCAATGGATTCCTCGTTCGAAGAGCAATCCATTGGTCGGGTCACACGTTTCGTTTCAGTCGCATCTAGCCACTCCGGAGCTGAAAACGCGTTAGTTTGGGGCCCCGTTACCGGCCGGCCCCGCTTCCTTTCCCAGGCAGAAAAATCGTTCTTTTACCAGGAACCGGCCCTCCACCGTTTTTTTTGTAGAACGCAAAAACCTTGGCGTAAGGCGGGGCGCCCGTTGCGTCCCGGGCTGCGTTGGCCGGGTGCGGCCCCCGCCCGCTTTGCGCGGTCCCGCGTTGCTGCCCGCGGTGCTGCCCGCGTTGCTGCCCGCGTTGCTGCCCGCCCCCTTGCTCCCCGGGGGCCCCGCGTGCTCCCCGGGGTGCTGCCCGCGTTGCTGCCCGCTTTTTGCTGCCCCGTTTGCTGCCCGCTTGCTTTCCCCGCTTTGGGGGCTCCCCCCCGCGTTGCTCCCCGCGTTGCTCCCCGCGTTGCTCCCCGGGGGCCCGGTTGGGCTTTGCCCCCCGCGGTGCTGCCCGCGTTGCTGCCCGCGTTGCTGCCCGCGGTGCGCGGAAGACCGGCAGTCGCAATGAGTGCTGCAGCCATAGTCATCGTGGTCCTCGCTGCCGTCTCAACGGCCAAGCTCGTCGTCATTGAAAACGGGGTACATAATGCATGCACTGTAGAAACCACTTGAAAATGCGGAGGTGTGAAATTTGCAGACTCCGCACTGGGATGTGCAGTGTTTGCATAACGCTTGAACTGTGCAGTTCTTCACGTTTGCTCCATGTCATGGGATAGGCTCTGGCCGATAGGGGCTCTGGGATTACATTTGAGGTGCGGAGACTGCAAATAACTTCACTGTTAAAAAAAATATGAAAATTCAGACTGATTTCGTCTTACTTGGTGGTCTGAATCGTAAATTCAAAAAATGGTACAATTAAGACCAACTGTCTGAAAAGTTTGACCTGTTTCTGAAATTTGAATTTAGACTAGAAAGTCTGAATTTTTTAAGCGATGGCTATCAAGTTTTGTACATTGTCGTCCGAAAACTAAATTCATACTTGGAATCGGAAAACGAGTAAAAAAAAAAACCGTCCCCTTTGTACTTTTTTCGATTTCTCAGAACTTTTATCAATATACTGTTTTATTCCAAAAAATATTTACGTTTAGTGTCGTTAAAGCATAGAGAATGTTTCAGAGCTCCGAAATGGACACTTATTGCTCTATCCGCTAGGTGGCGCTAGTGTCGCATGGATGATCTTTGGGAGCTAAAATTGCCACTTGAAGGCGAAATTGCGAATATTTTGTTACAAACTTATTCCAAGTGATTGTCTGAAAGGGCACGAGCGCACCAAAGCAAGATTCAGGTTAATAAGTGCAGTATAAGCTAAATAACAAAGAATACAATTTCACTCTCGCGCATGGCCACGGGTCGGCGCGTGGTTGGGCTAAGGCCGCTCTCCCTCGCAATTCAGCAGTCACCTCTAGCCTCTTCACTACATTTGCAAGTAGGAGTCTACTGCCGTGTACCCAATTTTTGAGCGTCTACGATAAACCGATGGCAAAAGTTCGCCGATTTGTGTTCTACTCTACAGAGTGCTATTTTTTAGTGCGACTGTTCAATGTCTTCGTACAACTTAGTCTGATAAAATAGACCGACTGGTATCACTTTTCATACAACATGTTGATCTGAAAATTCAGACTAACGTCGTCTGAAACTTTCAGACCGCGAAGCAGAGGTGTGCATATCCATCCGTCCAGCATCCGTTCCATCCGCAGCGTCAAGGGGTGGGGGGCTGGCCTGTCCAGGTGACAATTCGAACGCGTTGTTTTGCCTTGCGAACGCAGTCCGGGCGACACAGGTGAGGCAGCTACGCTACGCCACGCCGCCGCTGGCCGGGCGAGCGAGACGGAGCGAGCGGCGCCGCTGGGAGTGCGAGAGAGACGAACGGCCGCCCAGCAGGCTGCGGATGGAACGGATGGAGCAGATGCGCGGGCCGGATTGGGCGGGTTGGGTGCGGGCGGGTCCAGTGGTAGGCGACCCGCCCACGGCCAGGCTGCGGATTGAACGGATGCTGGGCGGATGGATATGCACACCTCTGCCGCGAAGTATGAAAGTTTTGGTATGAAAATTCAGACTGAATGTAAGTAAATCGACTTCTTACAAAAAATTATGAATTTTCAGTAATTTTTTTTAACAGTGTTGTGAAGAATTTACTCTGCACCAGGAAGCGTGTTCTCGAAACTCGGTGTGACTCTATATCTGCAGGCCCCCTGTCTCGAGGGTCAGCTGGCCGTGAAGCCTGGCGACGTCCTGAAGAACGACTGGGCCTGCTTCATTTTCTGCAAACCGCCAGGTCGGCACAGCGAACTCTGCCGTGCGTGCTGCCTGGACACGGAGGGAACGACTGGCGACGACTCGGCGCCGGTCACGAAAGAGCCGACAGACGGAGAGAAGACAGAAAGCGATTCGAAAACAACTCGTGAGAAAGAAGATGGGAAGAAGACAACGACCGCGAGACCTGACGGAGAAGCGGAGCGGTCCACAACGGCAGAGGGAGAAAACACCACCGCGGAGTCTTAGTCCCCTCGTGATTCTGACCCCGTCCCATCGGAAATATGGAATGGAATAGTGGAATGCAAAGTATTTCCTTAGTTCACCGGCACGCATTTTTTAAGTGCATTTCAGTTAGAGACAGTGGGTTCCATACGCAAAAAGGAACCCCTTCTTCTGAATTTATCTTTACCCTCTATTTGAAATTTTTCTGTACTAAGTTCTCAGAACGCTCCTAAATTTTTAGTTTAGTTGGGGGAAGGAGAGGGGGGGGTCTTCATGCATGCCACACAATTCCAGCCTTGAAATATGTATTTGAAACCCCTGTTTTATTGTTAGGTGTTAGGTTAAGTGTTCTTGTGACATTTTTCATTGGAGCAACGTCTCTCAGGACAACCATCCGGAACGACGAAAAAAGAAGACATTTTTGACGTGATTTTTCGTCGCTTCGAGATCATTGTGCGGTTCAAGATGTCAAAGGTGCAAGCACCAGTCTTCATAATTTATCATTTGTAAGAGGTGCGAACATGTTGAGAACATAAAATTATGTTCGTCTCATGATAAAGACCCATTAAGCGTTTTCATCGCCGGACGTGAAAAGAGTTTGAAAATGCTGTCGTGTATGGAAAAGAGTTGGTGAGACTGCAGACAGGGCAGGATTTATCGAAGGACACTCTTCCAAAAACGGCGGGCTTCGACGTCAGGTGTCTACATCTTCTCCAAAACTCCCAACATTTGGTTCTTCAACTTTCCCTGGAAAATAAATTTTTATGATCCACTCGCTGCTCTATATATTTGATCTATACACAAACTCACGGTGTACTCACTTCAGAGTCTTGTTTGAGCATGCAGACGATGTGCTGGTACGCCATCTCACACCGGTCGTCATTTTGTTCTGAAAAAGGAGTTTCAGCAATCATCTGAGTGTATGGCGTTCACAACCCAAAACATTAAAAACATAGCAGGTGTCAACACGATGACGTAGTAAGTTTCTCAAATTTTGTCTCGTTTTGTTAACGTTTGACGGCTGCTTCGTGAAAACAATGCTGCCTTTCAGATCATGTCCCGAATTGAATCGCATAACGGATTTCTTTCATACCTATTTCGATGCCTCTGCCTTTCTTAGGAGAGAAGTTCTTGTAAATGGGTTATGAACTGACCCCGCTAGGTGCATTTCATGGTGGCGTCAAATTGATGCTAATTTTGGCACAAAAACTTTGACAATTTTACTTATGGAGCTTCCTTTGGCGCTCATGCACTGGCACCTGCCTCTCCCACGAAACCTATACTAAAGATATAAGCGATTTCTACGGAGTTCCCGTGAAAACGCGGAACCGTCGTTGCCGTGCGGAGTGACTATTAAAGCTTACCCATGTCCTTGCACGCATCGGCAATGGGCAGAAACTCTTCGAGGCCGATTTCCTTCAAGTGTTCGGAAAGAACGATTGTGCCGTCTTCCGTGAGCTGCAAGCAGAAAAAGAATACGGTAACATCTCCTAACGTCAATGGGGTTAACTTGGGAATTTTTCTCAGCGCTGGAGGCCATTGGATCCCAACTACTATGTGAAAGTTTGACCCTTTCCGGTAATTCATAGTTGGATTTTTTATTTTTTTATTTTATTTATTTTGCTTCATTAAAAACTTTTGCTGGAGGCTACGCTACAGTTGAGGGCAAGGTCCGGCTTGGCTTTTGTTGTTAATTGAGAAAGAAAATCGTGGATCAGGTCGGAACTCCAATTAGTGTCTTGACTCAGGCAGAGAAGCGGGAGCTCCCTACTTTCGTGTCGCTTGATATCAAATTGATTGTCCCATCACGATCTCATGGTGAGTGACACTCTCCAAACAAATAGTGTGACCGTTTGCAATGCGCATTACATTCACACTAGCCTCCCATGGACCGCCGTAAAAATCAAGGACTCAGTGGGCGGCGTTTATTGCCACTCGAACTAGGACCGGGGAGCGAAGGTGTCACGGCCGCCGCGCTGACCGGCACAATAAGTGGGAGGGGGCCGCGAGGGGCCCCGCAGGCTGCGGCCCATAGGAAGGCTCTGTGACGAGCGAAAGGAACGGTCCACCTCCTCAGCTTGCGGGGAGCCGAGTCTCCACAGCTTTCTGGCTGCCGAAAAGTCGTAAAAAGTTGCATCTGAATCTGAATTGGCACGGCCACGGCCACGCTCTGGCTCCCCTATGATATAACCCTCCGAGCCCGCCTCCACAGCTTCCAAACCTAGGCCTTTGACCAAACTAGACACAGAGACTCGCACATATTGCGAGTAATAGCTCAAGCTTTGATTCGCTTGACCTAATAAGAAAGGCGTTTTCTTGAAGATTTGACAATTCCTTAGTACTTTTCGTATTACAAAGCGATAGTTCGTAGACTTTTTCCTGTGGGGGTCGTTTCAGATCTACACCAATATTTTCACTTCAGCCTCAGAGCATCATTGAAATGCTGTATGACTGTGTCCGGGAGGACAGCCACTTGACGGATCTTGCGCGATCTTACCGCCGCGAGGGCCACCATGGTGCACTTCAAGAAGCACTGCAACAAAAAAATTTCTCCCGTCAAGATCATGCATGAATACTTAGCACCTGATAAAATACAAACAATATCAAAAAGTAAGACCGCTGCTAGCTCAAGACGAAAATGAATCACGTAACTGTAAACTAAAGTATGCACTAAGTACACGCTCAAAGCAATTCAGTTTTGACTTGGGTCCAGCGTTCACTTTCCAAAAAGTGACCTGTGGTCTGAAAACATACTTTTGTTTACAGTGTGTTAATGGCGAGACATGGACGAATTTAGTTACGTAAGTTTCGAGAAACTGGCAGTGGTTATATCCGTGCTGAATACTGGCGGTACATTACTCACTTTGGCGTCCTTGGAAAGGTCCTTCTCGTCAAACAAGGGCTTGATATCGTCTGGAATAACAGACAAGGTGGTTGATTACAAGTGAAATTTTATTTTTGAAATACCCGTGTAAAATGTAGTGGAAGAAAGACTTTTCCGGACGCCCAGCTTTAAATTGTTTGCGCACTGTCTAGTAAAACAATCAAAGGTCACCTAATTTAACATTGTTCTCAGCGGCACATTGTTTGTTGATCTTCAACTCCTTTTCAAAAGCAGAATCACCCCGAGCAGGCTGCACAGGAGAAAGTTGCAACAACATTTAGTAAAACCATTTCTTTCACACAAACGACAAAAAGATTGCCTTGACCCTTCGCTTGGATTCGATCGGCCTACCTCCAGGGCGAGCAGCACACACAGAACTACGACGCACGATTTCATGTTGATGGCGGAGACGCTCGGGGCTTCCAGAGGTTCTTAGGAAGAACAATGGTAAAAAAAGGCAAATCAGAAAATAATTTTAGGTGAGCTTCAATTTGACACTGATCTTCACCCTCTTTTTTTGTGGTAAGTTTCCAACCAAACAGATGTGTTAGCTAAAAATTAAGCCCAAACCAACCGTAGAAATATGTTTTTTTTTTAGATTGCAGCTCTTACCTTTCTGACCAGCTCTTTGGCGTTTCAGACCACTCTGGAAGGGCTCACAGAGGAGTGATGTGCGTTGTCTTGCGCCGCAGCTCTTATAGCCCGACATTCTGTACACAGAACGGCGTTCTCCCACTCGCACTCGTGGGAAGGCTCGGAATAGTCTGCTGTCTCGCACTGCCTGTAGCCCGACTGGACGCTGAGTGGTGGGCAACGTCACTCCCGTGACACCGTAAACGCCAAGCGGAGCGATTTGTGCGCAGTGCTTGTCGCTCTCTGCTTCGCTGCCACACGGGACTTCACATGAGTGCGAGCGAGGAAGTGTATCAACGAGCTCCTTTTGTCCCTGTCAAACGGGGTAACCACCGGACACATGGAGGACGTGTGACGACATCCGCTTCCGCGGCCCAAAATGGAATCTGGCCAGTCATAGTCGCGGCACATGGAGAGTCAGTCCGACGAGGCTTCTCGTTCTGTACACTGCAAACCTAACTGTCTACTAAGTACACACTTACAAATGCATGCTTGCAAGTACACACTTACAAATGAATGCTTGGCCAAGTACACACTTACAAATGCATGGTTGCAAGTACACACTTACAAACGCATGCTATTGGCCAAGTATACACTTACAAATGCATACTTGCAAGTACACACTTACAGACGCATGCTCGACGCCGTTTAGCTCCATGCGTCAGGCATGCGTTTGTAAGTGTGTACTAAGTAGACAGTTAGGTTTGTAGTGTAGTGTAGCAATCCTCGTGTGGCAGAGGAAAACTGCAGCACGCACTAAACGAACACGAAATTCTCATCGGAACGTGTCAATTTGACTAATTTCAGTCAAAATTTCAACGAAAAAGCCACACTTTGACATCATTTTTAACTCACTTTAAAAAAAGTAACAGAATTTTGTATCATTTTTGATGCAGGATTTTGTATCACCTGCATTGGTTACAAATATTTGTATATAAGTGATACATAATTTTGTAACAGATGTGCCGGTTACAGAAAAATGAATCATTTTGGAGCTTGATACAGAAATTTGTTACATGAAGGTTACAATATTATGTTTGTAACATAACCGATACAGAAAATTGTAACTGGATACTAAATTCTGTATCAGCGATTAAAACATAAGGTTTTAACGGCAAAATTGAACAGCAGTGCCCATAGAGACAAGTTAAACTTAGAGTTTTCATGTGCTTTTATTTTTCCTGACTCTGAATAAGAGATTCAGTCTCGTTTATGCTTGGCAAGCAAGGCCTCCGTCCCTTACCACGCGCGCCTCAGGTCACCGGCTACCTGCGCCGCTCCCTCCACGGCGTCCGCACAGCGCAGTTGGTAGCGCAGCGGGCCGCTAACCCTGAGTCTGGGGTTCGATTCCCGACTTCTCAGAGTACATCTGGGAAAGTTGAGACTCGAAGAATGGCATAACTTCCTTCAATCAGACCAAAGGAGACTACGCTCGACCAAAATTCTCATTTTGATGCTTGATTTGGAAGAATAACGACTGTTTACAAATTTTGTAACCGTTACGAAATTCTGTAACCAAGTTACAAAGAAAAAAACTGTATCCATCGTGATACAAATTTCTGTAACACATGTTATTGAAAAAGCTGCGTAACCATGTTACAAAATTCTGTACTGATTTTTTTTAGAGTGGCTTCGTAAGTGTTCCGTGTGCTTTAAGTTCTATGGACAGGCGCAAGCAGAGAATCACACGTCACACTGTAAATGTCTTACGGAGAAAGGCTGCGCCAACATATTATGGTGGAGATTTTCTCCATAATACCAACGAAAATTGTCAAAATATCTATAAGATACAGTGAATTTTCAATGGTATGTAATGAAGTCAGCTGCACCACCATGGAACATTTTCTCCATAATATGGAGAATCTTCGCTGTATAACATTTAGAGTGCATTGTGTTGTACTGGAGCTTCCTGCGTACAACCTTTCATTTTGTATCCCGACTGCGGTCCCTAAAGTGCCACTATTAAAGGGGTGCGACAAAGGGCGGCGCGTAGGCATGGCCCGCTCCCAGCGTCAGAATAATTGACCACTTGAACGGTTAGCAGGAAAAAAAGACAGGGACGTTCGAAGCGACGTTCTGAAAAACCATGATAACATCATGTTTTCGTGTCCTTCTAGGTCGGGCAAGGGCGAAGTGGACGCATTGATGGTCGATAACATGTTTGCGCCTTGTGGTTTAAAATAAATTGGGAATGGTCCCGAACTGGTGGTTATTGAGAAACTCTGAAACTGTTGCGATTTTAAGCAATGTTCCATCTAAGATTGTTGTGTACATGTCAATGGCAAGGAATTGTCATAGAAAGACACATGTGGAGGAATTGCCACTTTATTCATTCCATTTTCTTTTTGCAGAAATGTTTGTACATATAATTTTTTTGTACTTTAGGGCAGGTGGGTTGGTGCGTTGAAACACGTGTTTTAGAGAGTTGAATGTGAAACATCGACTTTAGGCAGGACCTCACTCTTCCGGACAAGCGATTCATTGATGTCTCTTCGCATGAAACGAGGGGGAATTCACTCGCGTCATAGTCAGGTCACCGATTCCTAGTATGACGCGTAACAGTAATAGCTTAATAGCCAAATTTTTTAAAAAATTTCCCTATTTATGGTCCAATTTGAGCCTAAATCTAGATATTTTCGAGTGTAATAAGCCTTCTGTAATAGCGTAATATATTGTGATAGGGAGTAGTTGGGTCACAGTTTTTAAGAGTGATTTCTCCCTCGGCACAAAATACTTTATTGGCACTGACTGGTAGGCCTCAATAGTACCTTCTGTAAATAACTACTCGTTTGCAGGAAATCGCGTAAGTCATGTTTCTCCAATGCGTGTACAATCAGTACTTAGAAATTATCAAACCACGCCAACGATAGAAGTGGTGCTACGTGCGGTCACACCGAAAACTCATCAAATTCGTGCACGTAGTGTTTTCAATAGTGACTTCGACACCTGTAAGGAAAAGGCACGCAGTAGCGGCCGCGCGATCCAAAAGGCGCTCAGTTGCGGCCCTCGATTGAAAGGCACGCAGTTTGCCGCGCGCGATCCAAAGCACTCAGTTTGCTCCGCGCGATCCAAAAGACACGCAGTTTTGGCTGGCGGCCGGCAAACTGCGTGTCTTTTGGATCGCGCGGGGCAAACTGAGTGCCTTTTGGATCGCGCGCGCAAACTGCGTGCCTTTCAGATCGCAGGGCCGCAACTGAGCGCTTTGGATCGCGCGGCCGCTACTGCGTGCCTTTTCCTTACAGGTGTCGACTTGCCTCACATAATATTCATTTCGATGCAAACCATTATCACACAGCTAACGTTTGACGCAGTGACTTTTTTTTATCCCACCGCCACACACTAAATTTTATCGTACAAAGCTTGTTCAGACGTCACAGCTTTTTGTGCATATGATCCTTTCCGCCTGTAATCCGTATGAAAATTTTGCATGAAAACGAAGAAAAACAAACAGTTTTTGGACCAAAATCTCAAGAGAAGCTTATCTTTACAAATACTTTTACGGGCTGAACAACAAGTGCGTGGGTGCTAGAAGCGGCACCTTATCACTCCTTCTATAAGTGCGCCTACAAAAAACAAAACAAATTTACTAGGTTCACATGAATCTACGACGTTCATTCAAGATGACGGGTGAGGTGAGAAAGATCCCGTCTGCAGGCGGAACACCAGGAGCTCCCCGCTGAAGGTGATCGTAGCAGCTAGGAGGCCGCCGGCCAGCAGGACGAAGCACACCCAGAGCTGAACGAGGCCAAGGGGAGAGACGCTGGGTTCCCGGCGCGCTGTCTCTCTCTCCATAACGTACTGGCGAGTGTCTTCTTTGTTTTCGAACAGGCTCACCAACTGCGGGTTGAGACCGGCAGCATAAAATCGGCTCAGGGTCACCCTAATTACTTTGGCTACTGGTGACCCCGCCTTTGCCAGGAACTTGCTCGTCATGAACTGGCCCTCTTCACTTAATTTGTGGACGCCTTTCAATGCGCGGGGCAGCACAAATAGAAGAGAGGACTTCTTCAGCAGCATGGAGGCGGTCCCGTTGGTCACAGCCTCTATCCTTCTATCCAATGATTGCTCGAAACTAACGTGGGTTACCGCCCCGCGCCATGACATTGCCTCAGAGTTGATAACTATTCCTGCTTCCACGTACATAGCAGTAAGGTTTTTGTTATTGTTATAATTTGTCCAGCATCAAGCAAGATGGGTGGCTATTCAAGTTTGGCGCTAGGAGTTTCCAGGCCTTGAATTATGCGATCTACATATGAAAACGTGTCGACTAATAGATTTTCTCTTTTAGATTCTTCGGTGGCTCTCTGCAACTACGCGGTGGCTCAATGGCGGCCCCTCTGCATCCGGAACACTAGGAGCTCCCCGGCGAAGACCACCGTAGCGGCGAGGAGGCCGCCGGCCAGCAGCACGAAGCATACCTTGAGCTGGGCCATGGTCAGCGGAGTGGCGCTGGATGCCTGGTAGGCCGCCTCTCTCTCGACCACGTACTGGCGGGTGTCCCTCACGTCCTCGAACCGGTTCACTGTCGCGGGGTCGAGACCAGCAGCACAAAATCGAGCCAATGTCGTCCTCAAGACCTTTCCTTCAGGTGCTCCCTTCTTTGACATGAACAGGCTGGTGATGAACTGCCCAGGCGTGTGGAATGCGTGCGTGCCTTTTAATTCGCTCAGCTGCACTAATGGAAGGCTAGATTGTGAAAGTGCTATGGCAGCGCTCCGGTTCACCACGGCGTCTACGCACTCTTGCCTTCGATCTGGTAATAGTGGGTGCGTCACCACACCGGCCAATATGGAGTCGTTCCTCAATGATATTCCGCTTGGAACGTACACGGTAAGATTGGATTCAGCCAGTTCTTCCAAACTTTGGATGTTTCTAGAGGCGCACCTATCTAGGAGCTCGGACAAGAGTTTTCCAGTGTAGGCTGACGACAGGACGACGCAGACAAGAAGCCAGCTGCCCAGCAACGGGCGGCGCGCGTCCCTGCCGACCAGCGACCCAGCCTGCGCCAAGATAGGGGCCAGGGCGTCCAGGAAGGCCGTGGAGCGCCCGCCCAGCAGCAGCAACCCGGTGGAGACTACTAGGAAGGCCAGCGCAGTGGCGAGCCATAGTAAGGGGGAGAACTCCCTGGTGACGCTGTCGGTGAGGCAGCTGCCCTTGCCCATCCCGGCGGGCACCAGCACCACCATGCTGTCCATGCCCCACGGGAAGGAATCGAAAGAGATTGTTGGCAGAATCCGCATAGGAGTGGCCTCGCTGACCACGTCGGAAAGGCAAAACGTTCTGGTCTCCATCCTCGTCCCCCTTTTGTTCCCTGCACGGATGCCACTCTTCTGAACTACAGCCGCACTAAACCTTCTCACCATAGAGTTCAATAAGTTCTTTTCCTCTATACTGAAAGACGTCATGCCGCTTTTTGCTGACTCGTTTCCAAGAAAGTAGCATGGCGCGTAGAACGTCGTACCGCCAGGTACCCAAACTCTTTCAACAGGAAGCAAACTGTTGATATCTTTGTTGGAAACAAAGTGATAAGAGTACAAGCTTGATCCGTATCTTGCATCCCCGACAACAAGCATTACCCTCATGAACTGAAACCAATACGCGCTAGCGGTAATCTCGTCAAGATTCTTTTGCGTCCAGACTGAGTCATATCCAGTCCACAGCAGTGTCCGGGCTGGACAGGAACACGTCATGTTCTTCAATACACCTACCAGGTCTGACGCTTTGTCCTCTGCCACAACAAGGATTGCACTCGGCTTCGACAGGACAGCCAGGGTCTGGGGGGACGGCCAGGGTTCAGTCGTCCTGGGCAGCAGCTGCACGGACGCTGCGTCCTGCAGCCCCAGGAAGGCGTCCATCCACCGCGGCGTTCCAATGACAAACAGTAGAGGAGAGTGTTGTCCTGTGCGCAGCAGGGCCGGCTTGAGCAAGCTGTGGATGAACCGCGCCTCGCTGTCCACGGTCATGGCCTTGCTGCTCGGTGTGATGGAGTCCCAGGTCGCAGGCAGCGCCCTGGTCGGGACCAGCAGCACCGCGACGAGCAGCGCGACGGGCAGCGCCAAACACGTCAGCCTTCGACGGGCGGCCATCCTGGAGTGAAGTGCGCCACATCCTTATCTTGACTACCGACGGGCCAATCGGCCAATAAAGCGGCTGTGTCGCCTGAGTGACGTCACGATAATTGGCATCGTGGCGAGTACGGAAGCGACGTTCGATGTGCCACGAATAAAGGCACCGTACGGAAAGAACCGAGGTAGTGCCGCACAGTAAAGTGGCCATTCACGCGTGGCTTTCGCAAGGGAGGAAGACTTTTCTTCATAAGCATTTCTTCGAAGATTTTACAACGCCTAAGTAACTTTGTATTACGGGGCGATTCTTCGCAGGTGCGTCTGCTGAAAATTACTTCGAATAAACAAGCAGTAGTACTTGCTTCCCGAGGCGTTGAATCGTGTAAAAGGGGTTGAGAGTGTTGAGTGTGAAATTCGAACGAAACGCGTTAGGGGAAAGTCTCCGTCGGCCGCTGCGATGCTAGGCACTGCAGGCGCTCGTCGACGGCCTGATGAATATTTCCCCCTTGCGCATTATCTTTCACGACTGAGAGTGTTGTTTTCTGGGCGCCTGATTATAAAGAGTGTGAAGGAAGTGTTGGAGGAAGTTGGAATGGCTGCAGCTGTGTCTCTGGTGCCCAATCTTTTACAATTTTAATCATGGCGATTGAGCCTGTAGTGCCTGGACCACCTCTGTTGAAGCCGTGGTGCAGTGCAGCGCACAGTGCGGGCAGAGTAAACTCACATGCCATGCACTCTTTGCAATTTGTATCTGATTTCATTGTCGTGGGTGTGTGTGTGAGAGTGTGTGTCAAAGAGAGAGATCATGTGTGAATCGTTCGCAATTGCCCATGTGCAATTTCTTTTTGTGGAAATGTAGGAGAAAGTGACTGGGCAGCATGAGTGAACGAACAGCACGGCGTGCACTTTCTGCCCGTTAAATATATTTTCCGCCATCTCGCCTCTCCGTTCCGTTTGTTTTGTGCAATCTAAACTGATGCGTCCCCAAAGATTAATGTCGCCAGCGTTCCGGTCATCCATTTTAATTCGCATTACCCTATCTGCGTTACCCTTTTCCTCTTTCTGCGCCGCCGCGCTGCGCCTCCCCGGGGAGCGGACGCATCCCGCGCGCCTCGCGGCGACTAGTGCTGTGCGTAGCTCGCGCACGCACTCCACCACGGCCTCCTCTTCGGCCTCTACCACGGCCTCTTCTTCGGCCTCTACCACGGCCTCTTCTTCGGCCTCTACCACGGCCTGCACAACAGCCTCCACCACGGTCTCTACCACGACCTTTGCCACGTCCACGACCACGGCCTGTACCACGGCCTCCGCATTGCAAAGAACGATAGGACGAACCACATTCGTGTAAAGTTTGTCAGAATATCAGAAGCCTGCGTGAAATTCTTATCAAATTTCGCTCACCTCTGAAAGCTAAAAATTTATAGAAATCAGACCATCAATATCAGAATAAGTTTTCAGAATATGAGCTTTTAGAGGTGCGCGGATTTTGATTGGGATTTCAGAAAGGTTTCTAACGTTCTCGAAAATTTTACACGACAGCAATCAACTTTCGCTGCAGACACGTGCCACGCACCGTGTTTGGCGCGCACGGCCTCAGCCTGCACCGCACCCCGCGGATCCACGGAGCCTCCTCACGGAATGCCTTTGGTCGGCGCGTCAAAGCGAGGCGGAGCGAGCACGCTGAGAACACGCTGTGAACACACGGGGACACGCATGCGAGTCGCGGCAATAAAACCAAGGCGGGCCTCGCTTCTTCGCGGCTGGGGCCCCACAGCCTCTTACCTCCCCTCATCCCTTTTCCCTTCCCCCGGCCATCCGTGCCGCCAGGCAATTAAACAAGATGGTTAATTCATGCAAATGTTTGCTGCGCGAGGAAATCGCGACATCTTCACTTTAACTCTTATATTAAAGGGAAGCAAATCGGCGCGGCAGGCTCCGCGTGGAGTGGCTTAATCAAGGCGCGCTCTTGAAAGAAGCCTCGGAGAGCCCCGCGGCCCGCACGAGTCTGTCCTGTCTGTCTGTGCCCAATGGGACAGAATAAATACAAGTCCACATTCATGTAAATGTCACAAAAAGTTTTATAATCTCAGCTGTCAGAGGTGGGCGAATTTTGATCAGGATTTAAGACATGTAACTGACATTCTAGTTGACGCGATCATCCCTACTTTTGTTAATTCCATCCCCCTTCAAATAAAAACATTTAGAAAAGTTAACTGTGTGTCTGTCTGTTCGTCTGCGTCTGTTTGAGACACGCGTGACACGGCGATCGGACACTACCGGTTGCGGTGCGACACTCCGCAAAGCGTGCGTTAGTGTTGCCGGGATAATCTCCGCCCCAAACCCCCCAAACCGCCCCGCCCCGCTCCCTCGGGGACACTTGGGCCCCGGAACGAGCCAACAATGAAGCGGCCGAATAGCTGGGCAGATAGCTAACCGCCCCCCGCCCCCGCCCCGCCACGCCCCGCTGCCAGCGTAACCAGTAGCGCACCGCAGAGCTCAGCGGCAACGACTGCCAAAAGTGGAATGCCAAGTAGGCCCCATCTGCGATGTAATCCTTCCCTTCAGGACCAACCCCTCCCCCCCCCCCAAGTCTGTTTGCCGAGTACCCTTACGGTTTCAAGAGGTCTTTTCGGCAGATGATGCACCCTCTGAGAACCTTACAAACTATTTTTGGCCTTACAAAGAAAAGCAGCTTGTCATAACGAAGTATTTTGAATTAAAGCTACTTTTTAATTTTTGGAAATCCTGAAGTACACGTAGGGTTGTCAGGGTGTGGAGAGTGTGTCACGTAACGTTCCCCACCGACACGGCACGCGCAACCCTTCGAACCTTCCGAAATATTTTAAAATGAATTCTTGCATTTGTTTTTCATACTATTCTGTTTGTGGAAATGTCCGGCACTGCAGTGGAAGTGGAAGACACACTGTTCGCTACGAGTTCGCTATCAAGCCACCAAATTTCCTGTTGCTCGACGCAAAGAAATCGCGAAGACAAAAAGAAATCAATGCGGCAGAGAAAATGCGACGTTATTAAAACGCCATCATTCACGCCGTAATTAACTCGGGCCTGCCAGCCGAGTGGCCGGGACATAAAAATATGGAAAGCAAAGACATTTGTCTTAATCTTATTTTCTTGGCGCGGGGTGGCCACCCCTTTCCTGCTGCACTGTGGGCAGACCCAAATGGTCCACCGACCAGGAAAAAAAAACTCTGCTCCTCCTGACTGGGGGTGAGGGTGGTTTTTCGCTGGAGGTAAGAACGCAAGAAAAATAGTTCCGGAAATGAAGTATACAGTGGGGTGGCCGACGAAGCAGCCGAGGCCGGCATGAGTGACACTTTGCCTTTCAGACGTTTACGTGCATCGATCAGGTGTATTATCGAGCAGAGAAAGAGAGAGAGAGAGAGAAGAGAGAGAGAGAGAGAGAGAGAGAGAGAGAGAGAGAGGAGAGAGAGAGAGAGAGAGTAAGAGAGAGAGGCCCAAGGGAAAGGCGCCGGCTGCGAGGCGGAGAGATTTAACGGCCGATAGCGGGCCACCGTAATAACAATTAAAAGCACCAGTTTGGAAAAGATCGCGTCGCGATTTTTTGGCGGAATGTAATTTCATTGTTCTGAATATCGCATAAAAGGAGAGCAACAGACAAAAGCGGTCGACTTGGCGGAGGAAGAGAAAAACGAGTCGCGAAGTGGGCCGTCGCTTTAATTAACGACATTCTCTCGGCGGCGAGTGGGGAGGCGCTCTGTGTTGTTTCTCGTCTCGTTCCTGAAGAGTGCCCTTTTGGTTCTTGCGCTCGGTGCGCGATCAATTTTGGCCGCCGTCTCTGCGAAACGCATAATGCCTGTCGGGCGGACCCAAGGGCGGCGACCTCCCTGATAAAAGCACCGCTTAAAAAAGAAGATAGGTTTTTTTTGTTCTTTCTGTTTTCGTTGCCGGTGTCTGGGTTCAGCTTCTGACACGGTCTTTCAGACTGTGTGTGTGCGTGTGTGTAGAGGAGTGGGAGTGAGACAGAGAGGGAAAGAAAGGGGGGGGCTCCTATTTCTACAGTCAAAACACAGCCTTACGGACAGCCGTCGAGGCTTCTTCAGTCATGTTCCTATCATAAATCGCACCCGTTCCCATCAATACGAAAGTGAACCCACGTGCGCATGAGAGAGGGAGAGAGAGAGAGAGAGAGAAAGAGAGAGAGCTAGAAGAAGAACGAGGCCGTGTGGGCAGGGCAGGCTCATGGTGCGGCGGGGCGACGCATAAGGTGTCCGAAAACACGAGCCGTCGGGGGAATGCATTGAAAAGGGGAGGAGGACACACTGTTGCAGCATGTGATGATGTCTTGGATGGCGTCGTTCTTTTTTCTCTTCGCCCTCGCGCCACCAGCACCGCACTTCCAGAAGGGGCACTGCGCGGAGCAGCGCGGAGGGGGATTTGGCGAGGAAGGAGGGGAACGTCTTTATCGGCCGAGTTTACAGGGCCACGGCACCGCCACGGCACTGCCACGGCCACGTCGCGACATCTCATGGCACTGCGGCGATAAGCGGGAACAATGCGCCCAAAGGGTTGACACACGCTCTGTCTCTCTCTCTCTCTCTCTCTCTCTCTCTCTCTCTCTCTCTCTCTCTCTCTCTCATGCTACGAGGGTCGTTTGTTTCCCATCCAAACGATGGAACGGCAATGCGTTGTCCGTGCGGCAAATCGACACTGCATTGTTGGCGTCTGGGAAGAGGCCCCCGGCCCACGGCCGCGACAGGACGGGGTCTGCGGGGAGGAACGAACGTGGCAGAGGATTGACACTGTGAAACCAAGTGTGTAGAACTCCACGGCCGGCGACGCGCCCTGGTTTCAGACACTACACTGTCGTCCAATGAGACGGTCGCCTCTTTTTGTTGGTGCTACGCACTGCGAAAAAGGGCCTTACGAACAGTGCATCTTCGGACCTTGACGAGATGCACTGTTCGTAAGGCCCTTTTTCGCAGTGCGTAGCACCAACAAAAAGAGGCGACCGTCTCATTGGACGACAGTGTAGTGTCTGAAACCAGGGCGCGTCGCTGGCCGTGCGGTTTGCGGACAGGGCGCCTCTCCCAGAAAATAGTTTGAGCCTCCAGGGCGTCCGCAGCCCGCGCTTTCATGTGTCCAAACAAAACAAACAACAACACGCAGCCGGGAATACGAAACGCCCCAACCTGGAAGCTGCTTCCGAGAGTCGTTTGGGTCGCTCTGTCTTTCTCGCTCCTGTAGGGGACATAAGCGCGACAGAGACAGCGCGGCGAAAACGACCCTCGGAATCAGCCTGCTGGCACGGCCTTCGCACTCCACGGTGTGGCGGCACGTGCTTTTACACGCAGTGGACCACCACCCCGCGCAGCGCCGCGCAGCGCAGCGAGTGGTGACAGCGCCGGCCAGCTGTGCCGCTGCGGGGAGCTGGGGTGGCAGCGCCTGTGGCGGTCAGGGCGCGCTGCAGTGTTGTTGTTGTTGTTGTTGTTGACGTTGTCGTTGTTGTCCCAGCCAACAACTTGTGCCGTTTGTCATCGGCCAGCATGCGGGTCTGGCGGTGTGGCGGTAGCGGTGGCAGTGGTGGCCCCCGGGACCAACCACCGCCGTCCTCGTCCTCGACGTCGTCGTCGTCGTCCGCTCTATACGACTGAATCCGAGAGTCGTTTTCGTCGCTCCGTGTCTCTCGCACTCATGGACGCCCTGGAGAGGTGCGAGGGAGACAGCGACAAAAACGACTCTTGGATCAGTTTGAGCAGTCCGTCTGCTGGGCGGCTGAGGCACGAAAATGGTGGACCCAGCCGCTTGTTGGAAGGTGTGATCAAAGCACTCACTCGCTCTCCGAAAGTCTTACAGTCGAGGAGGAGGGCAGCACATTTGCCTGTATGCTGGATAGTATTTAGTTGACGGGAACGAAATCCGATAAAATATCCATAACGTGCAACGTCCGTAACGGCACAACGTCAGCTGCACCAGGAGAACCTTGAAGATGGTGCCCTTCAGCGTAAGCTTACAGTGGTCCGTTTATCTTTTGCAACCAAGGGGGTAAACATTTCGAGAAATCGTGTGCAGACTCGGTATTGCGCTGTATTGAACGATGGAATTAAACGTGTATGACGGCATTTAAATGCGAAAATTTCGTCGCATTTGCCTCCAAAACGCTGGCGTGTATTGAGCGTATACTACCGGGCTTTTGTGAACAGGGTATTGCGCGAGTACTTACCTCCTAGGCGAGTGTTTACCCGGATCGCTGGTCTGCTACTAACGGGTCTCGCCGGAGTGATGCTCAGTGACGCAATGGCTTGCCCACTTCAAGGAAGCGTGGCACACACCTGTTAATACCGTGGACATTGTCACAGCTAAAGGACGTACACTGATCGCATTTGTTCTCCTCAAGCAAATTTTCACAAGAATTGAAGCCAATGGCAACAGTGTCACATGCATTACCCACAAAAATGCAGTGTGCACATTTTTTCTTTTTTTTCTTTTTTCGAAAATCAAGGTTAAGTACATGCCTTATGCCAGACATTATGTTTCGCTTAAAGAACGCGATTTTTTTAATGCTTCAATGTGTCTGACAATATTCCAATTTTTACCTGTTATAACTCTGGTAAAACTAAAGCAAAAAGCAAAAAGTTGGATGATGACTGTTTGAATGTTGCACCACGTTCCAACGAATGTGGCTTCGTATGTTCGAACGAACGGGACAAAACTCACATTACAACCAACGTGGCGTCTTTGAATAACAGAGTATATGGGCTATTTTTACACTCTTCGGCCCAAGAACAGCTGCCTCACAGCTGCCTCACCGAATTTTCTGATTCGACTCCGAATCGTAAATGAAATTTCGGCTGGGAGTGGGCCAGTCTTCAACTCTTTGGCCCCGAACCGCTGCTTCCACAGGTGGCGCATGGACGTTTACGCGATTCCCGTGTGGATACCCAACTTTTCTCGGAAAAAACACAGCCACTTTCTTCCGAGTCACGCTGCGTCTCCAAACACAGATGTTTCGTGTCCAAAACAAGACCGCTATAAATTGTCGAAACGCTGTCGGTCTTTCACAGTTGTCGCCTTACCCGGTACAATGGCAGCCAAGTTCGTCTTCGTCGTGCTCGCCGGCCTCATCGCCTTGCAGGTAGCCAAGTGCACCATCGACGTGGTGCTGCGGGAAGGGTACACTGATAAGTGTTGGGAACTTCAGACTTGAAGTGCGGAGGAGTGGAATTGGCTGTCTCCGCACTTAAAAGTGCAGAGTTTGCAGTTGCCACACTGCAAGTGTTAAGTTCTCGTTTGCACCATGTCTATGGAGATGGCTCTGCGAGCTGACTAGACACTTGAAGTGTGGAGACTGCACACCAGGAAGTGAGAATTTCTCCACACTTGACTTGGCAGTGCACTCTAAAAAATAATGGCATTTCTACTACACCGTCGTATGGTAAAAGTACCAACTTCGGTATGGGAAACGACAATCCTATACGTGATTTGGAAAATTCCTATGCTTTTCGTTCTTTTGCCAATGTGGTGTAGTAAAAATCCGAACCTAGTATAGGAATTTGATTTCCTATACTCATGTTTGGTTTTTTCCTACACTTTTTGGTAGAAATCCTATTACTTCAGGCCATTGTATACTGCTTTTCCTACAACCTATTAGTAAGAATCCCAAACAATTCTGAAATATTTTTTCAGAAGAGAGGGGGACCAAGACAGACGTTCAATATTCATAACAGGCTAACGGCACAATGACTAAGGCGACAAAGCTGTTCAGAGAAAAGTAAAGAAAAGCTCATGTGACGTCAAACCGTTGATAGAAATTGGCAGTAGACGATTCGTTAAAACCGGTTTAAACTTATTTTGTATCTTGTTCTGCCCCATTATCACATTCGGTTTTAGATAATTTTGACTTCTTCATTAAAACTTGAAATGGGTTTGTCTCTGAAAATAGCGGCAACTCAGAACGACTCATGTAGATGAGCCATGGTTTTGAATCCTTGCGAAATTTAAAGTGATATTATTATGAAGCTGAAAATAAACGTAGCGCTCCAAAGCATTTTGACATCGTCTATTGTTAAGTTACCTTGTACCTAAAAGGTGAGCTGTGGGTAAGGGTATGGTCCACTGTCAGCCGCCTGACGTCAGGTTGCACAAACCTGCCGCTAGGTGGCGCTTGGAGCGCCGTGCCCGTTCACCACTAAGTATTTCCGATTTATGTTACTAAAGTAAATAATTTTCGACAACTATATCATCTGTTGCCTAAGTAAGTGTCAGTCCTAGCCGTTGGCTTTCAGTTTTAAACAAAATATTACACTAAAGTCGAGAGAAACGCTTGTCCATGTTGGCACTCGCTGGCGACTGCGGTCGGCCATTAGGTTGGGTGCACGCAAGATCCGCCTTGAGGTACAGAGCCCGGGAGTGGATTGAACTGCCTCTTGGGTGGGTCATTTCCTTTATCGGAGACAGAATTCCACTGTATTTTTGAAAATGCTTCCCCAGCTGAAGAGGCGCTGGCGCCATGATCTCCCGGGATGTGTTCACTATTTCTCAAAGTAAGACTTCCTATGTGTGTATAGGAGTTTTACCACATCACGGAACGAAAATATCCCACAACTCGTATGGGATTTTTACCATACACGGTGTAGTAGTTTTTCCCCCACCCTAATATAGTAGAAACCTAACAACACGTATAGGATTTTTGCCATATCGGCAGATGGTAAATTTACCATTCCTGTGTGGGAAAATTCCTATACCGATTAGGTTAAAGCGTCCGATACTTTTTTAGGATTTCTACCACAATATTTTTTAGAGTGTGCCCTAGTGTGGTGGTTCACAACATAATCCCTTCTCTCTCTCCGCAGGCGGTGATGGCGGACTCGAGCAGCTCCAGCAGCTCCTCCGACGAGTCCGACAAGCGCCGCCCTGCCCAGCGCCCTGCCAGGCGCCCCGCCCCCGCCCGGGTGTGGTATGCGGACGCCGAGTCGCCGTTTGAGGACGCCCCTTCTGACGAGGACTTCTGGTACCCGGAAGTGGTCGTCAGGCGTCCGGCCGGGGGCCGGTACGCTCCCCTGCCCCGCGCCCGGCAGTACCAGCCCAGGCGTCCGGACTTCCTCGCTCCCCGGCAGTACCAGAACCAGCCCAGGCGTCCCATCGTCGTCGAGCGCGTCCCTGCTCTGCCTCGTCCCGTGCAGGGCCCCAACCACCCTGCGCGTCCCTCCGGCGTGGACTTCATCACCCCCAACCAGCCTCGCCGTGATTCCGGCGTGGACTTCATCACCCCCAACCAGCCTCGCCGTGATTCCGGCGTGGACTTCATCACCCCCCAAACCCGCCTCGCCGTGACTCTGGCGTGGACTTCATCACCCCCAACCAGCCT